ACAGTTAATTTTTCATCACCTGTTTGCATCTTTTGTACACTAACATTTTATCTTTTGTATACCTATTTGTATTATTTGGTTACGCACAGGTGACCTTTCAAAATGTTTACAAGACATACATAGTATCAGTTGGTGACAAAAGCCTCATTATAAAGCCAATAAAAATATGGAGCCTGACTATGCTACTTCCTTACTAGTATTTGGCAACTGCAGAAAATAATAGCATTAGAAAGGATGAACACTACCTATAAGGATGACAAATAGAACTCTCCTTTCATTGCTCTTTTAATAAAGCTACGACTGAACTTAAAATTGAGATGAAACAAGAAATTTATATGTATACGAATTACAGTATAGTAAAGTTGTGCAGTTAAACAATCGATATTAGGGTGCAGAGGACCATAGATGGCAAAGCAGGGAATATTACTACTAGTACTAATTTAATCCGAAATTACTTAGTTATAACTCCACTTAACAATTCGTTTCAGAACATAATTTATCCAGGTTCCCGTCTTCAAGTATCACTCAAACTATATATTGTACAACACGTTTCCCACTTTTGATTTACACACACACACAAAATGAAATGTCCTTTGAGATCCTTAATTTTTAACTGGTTAACATTTTGGGTGCTGTTGTGGTTTTATCGCAAAACTACATTAAGGGACATCAGCACTCTGTCCATATGGGAAATCAAACTCCAGGTTTTACCATTGCACGTACGTAAACTTACTGCTGATCCACTGGGGAACAATATTTTGAGAAGAAAGGAGAATTAACACTATTCGATTTAAAAATATTTAAATACAAGTCATAAACGCACACACACACACATACTTATATGTAATTTCCGCTGATACTGTAGATGCAATAATGTATGACAGTTGTTGTTTAAAATGTCTTGCTAAAGTTGGTTTATTTTTTTACACATTACCATACGTTTTGTAAAGTGTTTTGACCATATATTTAGCCAGGTGGTTAGGGCGCTTGACTCGCAATCTGAGAATTATGGGTTCGAATCTCCGTCCCACCAAATATGCTCACCCTATTAGCTAAACGCCTAACTCCAACAGCTCATAAGAAAACCCAGAGCATAATCAGGTAATATTAGTTTTACTGTGGTGACAACACTTTAAATTCTTACCGAGTTCCATACGCATCCGGACTTTTTTTTTCCTTTCTTAGAGGATGCTTGGAGCAGTAGAATGTTTTTTACCTTGCATTACATTAAAAAAAAAACTTTGCAATCTGAACTAGAAGGTATTAGTACATCTGCTTTTATTTTATTGAAGCTTCCTGCATACGTAACGGAGAATTGTGCAGTAATACGACTGCTGAATGTAGTGTAAATATATTTGTTTGTTGAATTTCGCATAAGACTACTTGAGAGGTGTCTGCATTAGCCGTCCCTAATTTTGAAATGATAGACCTGAGAGAAGGCAGCTAGTCAACAGCATCTAACGTCAACTTTTGGGTTGTTTTCTATGAACGAATAGTAGGATTAGCCTTGTATTATAACTCCCCCACGGCTTGAGGGACGAGCATGTTTGATGACGAGATTCGAACTTCTTTCTATTAGCCTCCCTGTGGCACAGAGGTATGTCTGCCGACGTACAACGCTTAAATCAGGGTTTCAATAGCCGCGGTGAGCAGAGCAAAGATAGCCCATTATGTAGCTTCGTGCTTAATAACAAACACAAATGAAGCAAAATGTATTATTAACCACTAATTAATTATATTGGTTTTCTTCTGATAAAGACCTTTTGGTCTACTCATTCTTAAGGCTCTAAAAATGAATATTTTTGGGCCTATTTAATATGTTATTATTTTTTAAATTCGCATTTTTATAATACAAACTAGATAAACGCAGCAAATTTACCTATTGTTAATTGTTTACAAAAAGCAAAATCCTAAAAGTTATGTTAGATTTATGTGGGTATTGTGTAAGACTGTGACGGGGGAGTAGATCTTTAAAGCGGAAAAGTAGATTTTTCTATCAGTTTGTCCCTTCAGCAAAGTTTTTTTTTTTTTTCAATTGCTTAGCCATTAGCTATAAAAGTGAATGTATAGTTAAACTGAATAAAGCGTAACCACAATACTCGGAAGAGTTATTAATTTAATATTAGCAAAACATTATTATTAATTTTTCTAATTTGTTTTTTAGGGCAAATATTCTATAAACCTTGACTACAGAAATACACGAAAACTCGTCTACCAAACTTGTTAATTTATCGCTTATACGTAAAATAAATAACGTGAGCTTAAGTACTTCTGTAAATCATGAATGAATAATTGTCCAATTATACCATAGAGTGAATTATCGTAAACTAGTGATCTTTCGGTTATCTGTATTACGGACGACCAACCAGAAACCTAAAATTTGGACGTTGGTTTCTAACTAAATATTTACATAAATGAAGAAAATAAATTATAAAGGATTTTTTAACCATCTTTTTATATTTCTAGAAAAGTCCAGTGTATCTTGTTCACCCACTCTTTTTTGTAGTAAACAAAATCTCAGGAGACACAATTCGTATGTATGGGATCTATATTTAAATGTTTTAATATTCGTAAATTGCTTCAAATTTTACGTTTACCGACAACAAATTTCACAAGTAATTCAATATATGTTAAACAGTCAAGTTTAGATTGTACGTTACCTAGATTAGTATTTTAATGATACCGATTATATCTACTTACACTAAGGTCTGTAAAGAAGTATTTCCCAAAATAAGTTCAAATTATCTTACTTTAAAAGCTACTAAAACACGATGAATATTAAAGTGTGGTTTCTTAAGAGTTTACTTTAACTCCTAGGCCTGGTGGTTAATGCGCTTTACTTGCAGTCTGCAGTACTGAAATCCGTTGCGGAAGGTTCTCGACCCTTTCAGGCGTGGGGACGTTACAATATTCGGTCAACCTCACTATTGGTTGGGAAAAGTTTGTTTGTTTTGAATTTCGCGCAAAGGGCTAACTGCGCTAGTCGTCCCTAATTTAGCAGTGTAAGACTAGAGGGAAGGCAGCTAGTCATCACCACTCACGGCCAACTCTTGGGCTACTCTTTTACAAACGAATAGTGGGATTGACCGTCACGTTATAACGCCCCCACAGCTGAAAGGGCGAGCATGTTTGATGTGACGGGGATTCGAACCCGCGACCCTCAGATTGCGAGTCGAGCGCCCTAACCACCTGGCCATGCCGGCCCGTTGGGAAACAGTAACTCAAGACTTGTAGTGTTAACTTGCTGCCTATTTTGTAGTCTATCACTTCAAACGTATGGACGGTTAGCACAGGAAGCACACGAGTAGCTTTGCGGGAAACTTTCACGTTTACCTGTATAATTGTTCTACTAGAACAACTCCTGTTTTCACAAATAACACAAAAGCTGCTTAAATGTATTTAAATCACTGTTAGTTTCTTGTCTCAGTTCTTTGTTTTCATGTTATTTCTTTTTGCAATCAAGTTTTCGATTACGGAAAGTACAAATGTGCGTGATAGCATATAGAATTAATTATATCAACGCTTGCGCACACTTCACATTCAAATACGTCTAAGAAACACATGCGCTCTCGCGATGAATAAAAATAATTGTTCATAGAGACTAAGTTATTCGCACCAATTTATTTTGTATTGCATAGATCTCCCTTTATATATCACTTATAGAGTAATATCACACATATAGGAAACTTTGAACGCAAGTATTGTTCCAAATAGTTTTTTTCTTACATAAGATACACTTTTTCTACAATGTTTAGCACTATACGAGTTGAAGTACATTTCTTGTCACGTCTCATAGGACACCAATATTAATTACGATATTTTAACACTACATTCTTTATTCAGTTCACTAAGGATTTTTCAAGAAGGGTGTATAATAGTATTTTAACCTCATTATGTCCACAATATCCATCATTTGCACGTTTCACTCAACAAATATCTTACCAGCCTGATTGGGATATAACACAGTTGTGGTCTGAACACTATTTATATAATCCATTTTTTACGACAACAATTATTATGGCGTGAACGCTTCTTCTAAGCTGGAGAAGCATGGTTATAATTAATTATACTGTTGCGTCATCGAGGTCGCGTGACTGGTGTGGCGCCACCTATTTTCTAGAACTATCCTGTACCTTGGCGAATGCTCTAGCATTTACTAGATATAGGGTAGCTGGTATATAAAAGAGGGTGACAACGTGACGGGAGAATAATATAATATGTGTGTGTAGATAGTGAGTAATTGAATTGCAATCACAGGGTATTGTTGAAGTTAACGTTCGTTCGTTATAGTGTTTGTTTTAGCACGAATATTGAAATTAAGTGTATCGTAAAGTTATATTCGGAAAGAATAAACCAGTTTTATTAAGTAAAGACTTGTGTCGTTAAAGTTTCGTCGGAACGAAGTTACTGAAAAATCAATTAACAAACGGAGACGTAACAATACTTCTCATAAGAGATCAGTATTATTTCTAACAAACGATGTTCAAAGCTTAACAATTGTTCTTAATCACGTCTTGACAATCCCAACCAGGATAACAAATAAATTTATACTAAACATTCTTCTAATTAGAGAAACGGGAATGATTTGGTTGTTCCATAGTATGCTATTTTTACACAGTAATGTATATAGTTTCTGCGACAAAGCTTTCTAATCAATAATAAAAAAAGTACTTTCGTGTACTAAGACCTGCAGCAAACCACCTGGTGGACTAAACCGTATTCTCTATGCAGAAGATACTGCGGAAGTGCTCGGCTTTATCGGCAATGGGAGGGTATAAAGACAGACTTCCTGGCGTCAAACGATTGTTCGTATTGATCGCTCTATGGTTTGGCGTTATTTTTCTCTTCTTTTGGTATCAAGATCGTTACATGTTAAAGTGTGTGGCAGCGGTTTAATAAAACAACAACAACAACAAAATGTTACTATTGCTTTCACTTTGAGCAACTCAGTCATTTTAATGTAGCTCAAAAAGTGAAATATATAAAACTGGAAACACAACAGCAGCTAGGTCATGTTTATTAAGCTTTGTTAAAATACGAATACATTCAAATATAATGAATTGTAACAAAACAAATTTTAAGCGCTACACAATTACTGAATAATAGTCTAATAGAAAAAATATAGTACACTCTTAAATGACTATGTATAGGTTGCACATAAAATCAAATAAAAACAATTACGCCACAGAGCTCTAGATGACAACAGAAAGTCCAAACAAGCAATTTTCTAAATCATGATTTGCAATATTTAATTATAATAAAATAATTTTAAAATGCCCATCAGAATGCCTACTAAAGCAGTTTACTTTTCAAAACTGACAATAATAGAAAATAATGTTTAAAATAGCATGTCTACCAAATGTACATTATTCATGCCAGTTTGGCTAGGACAATTTGTCAAAATTTATTTTATGAAAAAACAACAACAACATACAAACATTAATTCAGCGCGTGTTTAAACAAATATTTCTCTACAACAACTTTTTTCTTCAAAGTGTCTTAAAGTTTCACTGTAACGTGTTAATCATCACTTGTACCGATACTACTACTAACATTAAAAAGCTTAGCTCCAATACGGTTTTCCAAGTAAGGTTACTTTTTTTTTTGACAAACAGCTGGATTTCTACATTTTCGTTTTAGATAACATTACTAAAAATACAAGCAAGGCTCTGTCTGCAACACAGCACTTAAACAAATAGTAGAAGTTTAAGTACTTCTCCCAGTGAACCATTATTAAACTAACATTGTGCAGATTAAAGTTCTAAACTTCTTTATATTACACATATGTCCAAAGCTAAGTAATAAAATCTATGCAGATCGCTTAATAGCTTCTTCAATCTTACCCACAATCCAAGTGCATAGTTGTGGATCGCGGATGTGAACTACCCTGCCTGTTTCTCCGCCCCCAAATAGTCCTCCTAATTTCTTTTTCTTGGGCTCCTTCAGGAGGAATTTGATCCCCTTCTCCGTGATCTGTGGAGTTTCTTTAATTTCACTCCAAGTCAGCTGCCATTCTGTGTTCCACTGGCCAAAAATATCTCCTCTGGATATGAACATTACTCTTCTGTTCGTCACCAGTAAATGATTTTTACCATCAGCGCCAACTGGAAGATGAGCCACATAATCATCTGTAGTAGCAAAACGCCCCTTTTCAACTTCCTGCAAAAGTTGATTTCCCTCAGATTCAAGACGACTGTATGGCCTAATAATCGCATCTGGGTGGATGTAGCGAGGACACCTTGCTCTTTTAATTTCATCAGAAAGTTCAGTCACTTTTTTTACAGCTTCTAGACCTGAGCTAGCTAAATCAACAGCACCAACTGTTGGACGAGCAACAACTCCAATCAAGCCTTTTCCAACACCTTTGAAAAATCCTCCAACTCCCTCTTCCTTTGCACCTTCCATTGGTTTGGTTACTACTCCTGTGACTCCTTCAAATACTCCCATGACAAATCCCTTTCCACCTTGTGCTAGACCTTGTCTAACGTCTCCAGGTCGTTTGTTAATTTGCTGCCTTCTCTTCTTCTGGTACTCTTGATCCATTGTGAGGGCAGCCAGGCCCTTACCTAGAGTCCCTGTGATACGAGAGACAGCTCCAGCAGCCCCTCCAACAGCATGCCCAAACAAACTTTTAACACCTATTGCAAGTCCTTCTGCAAACTCCTCAGGACCCTGAATCGCCCCTTGGAATGGCTCATAAAAGAAGTCACCCACTCCTTCACTAATTCCTAGCAATAATCCTACAGGGTTACCAATAACATCAAGCCCAAGTACCAACACATAAAGTTGTTTAAGAGCTTGTCCAGTGTAATGCATAGTGGCATCTGAAACAAGCTGTTTCTGAGTGAAAAAAGAGTGCTTTTTCTCAAAGAAATTCAGTTTAAATATCACATCCTGTATTTCAGTTACTGTGACCCCTACACTCTGTAGAAGAAGATTTATGAAATCAGAATGAATAGGAGTTGGTTGATTAGGATCACTACTACCTCCTGTCATGGAGAAACTTAGATGTACTTTAATTGGTGAGAAATGAAGAATGTCATAAAAGCTCTTTTGCTCCTGAGAAGAATATGTTGTAGCAAACACCTTCAAGTCTTTCTTTAAGGCTTCTTTGTCTTTATCAAGGAGTTCTTCATGATTTGTTTGAATTTGTTCTTTAGGAGAAAAAAAAGAAATCAAAGAATTTAGAAAGCTCTGGTCTACTTTCACATGAAATTCTTGTATCAATACTTTAAAGTATTTGAATTGATTGATTAGGCTGTGTTCTGCGATCCTCATCATAATACTAACCTCAGTAAAAGGCTTAGGAGCACTGTCAGCAGCAACAGACTTTGGAGGTGGTACTGGAGCAATAACAACTGGAAATACACAGTCAGATAGTTGGTTATCAATCTGCAATTTGTTAATCTTGGCATGAAGCTGCAATTGATGAGGTGATGTACAATATTGAGCCCATAGACCTACTTGAAACGTTCTTCTAATGTTCCTTTTGTTGGGTTTATACATCATCATTTCAGAATAATCTATTTCTAATTTACTTTCAAGAGATTGTTTTGGTTTTGGTGTTTTTCCAGCTTTAATTTCTTTCAAAAACTTTTGGTAACCATTCTCAATTATTAGATTTTCTTTTAAACTTACGGGTTTATATCTACGACTTTTTAACTTGCATTGTTCCCAGAGCACTCCTGAATTAGCTAAACTAATATAAACAATTTCAGATCTACTATCATTGTCTACAAGAGAAATTCCCACTCCCTGCAGAGAAATGGTTATTTCTTGCTCAATACGCTCTAGCTCTCCTGCTTCTTGAGCAGCAGTTGCCAAAGCAATATCTTCTGTAAACATTAGAGTTCGTTGTAATCCATCCAAAAAAGATACCCAATATACTTTTGAGTCTTTATCAGCATTAAAGCCTTCAATTCCATCTTGAATAAGACTGTTTTTTTCATTGGTTTTCTTTCCACATGACCAAGTAAGTTCTTTTTTACCTAGAGGATCTTCCCATGTGTAAAGGACACTATGAAGTGGTGCCAACTGGTGTTTCTCTTTTTTGCCACTTTGAAGATATTCTATAGTAAATTTGTCTGTGTGATTGACAAGTCGAACTTGGGCTGATCCATCATAGTAATCACAAAACGTAAGTACAGTTGAAGATTCACCAACCTGACAATCCACATATATTGCACCTTTTGTACCAGCTAGCCTTAATAAATTGGAATGTGGTTCCTTGAAGGAAAAAGGTGCAGTCTGATCTTGACTCCCAGCATACCTTACCACCATTTCTGGTTTCTTGGTTTGATCAGGCCAAAATGGAACACATTCTCCAGCAACGATAGTAAACCACTGTGCTGACTCTAGGTCTTCTTTACATTCAATATCAAATTTACAGTTGTTTGTTAACAAATAAAATGGTGTGAACACAACTACTTTAGTCAAACTAGCTTGGCCAAGTACAATTTGTACCCCTAAACAGTATGTCTTACCATCTTTCACCTTTGCAGCAACTGAACCACTACTTCCTACAGCATCTACTGCAAATTTATCTGACCAATCTGAATCTTCTACTTTCAAAGAAGCTTTTTTCTTAGAAAAGAAATTTTTGGCTCTGAATGAAAACAATAAGGGGATATTTAGGTTTCCTGGATGACTAGTTGTATTTTGTTCTTCTCCTTTGTATGTTATATGTAAGTTTGTTTTATTTATCATCCAAAAGGGACAGTAAATTTCCATATCCAAATAACCAGTAGTTTTCCGTGTATGCATACCAAGATCTAAAGTCAGTTCTTTATCCAAACTTTTTGATGAAAATGTCCAAACAGTGAGTTCGTCGACATCAGGATTTAGTTCTTTACTGCAAGTCCAGCTTTGCTCTACATAATCAGGTAACTTGATATGCAAGAATGTTTTACCTGGATCAGCTGAGGTAAGATCATGGGTCTTACCTTCTTCCAAAACAAATTCCTCATCCACTCCTTGTATAGTGTAGTTAATAACTAGTGGAAGTAAATTTCTCAATGATGCAGTTGGTTGCAAATGCAAAATGTAGCAAGTACTGATCATAGTTCTTTTTGTAGAGTCTTCAAAGAGTACTTGTTCAACTTCTCCAAATACTTTGAGATAAAAGCTTCGTTCTCCAGTGTTACGACCACCACAATGCAGTGTTTTTGAAGTTCCAGGTTCATTCACTAGGTCCTTCCAAACAAATGGCTCCATACAAACATTATATGTACCTTCAGCAGGTTTAAAGAATAATTCACTAGTAGGACAATATACGGCATACAGTGGAACAAAAGATATCTTTTCAGGTTCTATAACACCACACATTTCTAGTTCATTTCCTCCTGGTCTCATATAATACAGTTCCATTGCAACTGAAATGTGATTTCTCACGGTTATGCAAGATTGAAAAGTAATAATTTTTGAACCATATGATGAAATAACATCTGTAACAAAGCCCCACTGATCACCTGGGGAGGTTTTATGAGGTAGTTGAAAATATCGTTTGCCAACTTGAGCAATGTTGATTTTACGAACAATGTTGATTTGATCTGTTTCAATCTTAATGCAAAGTACTTCTTCCATTTTTACATTCTGCTTTTTTAGAATGGATGTATGGCTTTCTATAACATCACTGGAAGAAGATTGGTTTAGACATACTGTGGTATCAGGCTCTAGTAACACCTCTTTGAAACCAGACTCTTCTTGCCCAACTACCTGAAAACTATCATTATTCAGCAAAACAGACATTGGAATTCCCAAGTTGTTTTTCACAACATATGGAGCATCTGGTTGTTCTAGTTTATTTCCATGGGCTTGGTTAACTGCTTCCCCAAAAGCTTGTCCTAGGTTAGTCAGGACCTCTAATGCAACTTTACTTACTGTCAACTCCATTACATCAATAGAGATTACACTAATGCTCATAACTGGAGGTTGAAAACAAATTTCTTGTTGTTTCTCCCTCTTCAGCAGGTGGTTATGGTAATTCAGGATTTTTTGGTCACTTCCATT